GATAAACCACATCTTCTTGATCCATTCGTCTGTTGATGGACACTTAGGCTCTTTCCATGTTTTAGCTATTGTGGAGAGTGCTGCTATGAACATTGGGGTACATGTGCTCCTATGCCTCAGCATTTCTGTATCCCTTGGGTAAATTCCTAGCAGTGCTATTGCTGGGTCCTAGGGGAGTTCTATTGTTAGTTTCCTGAGGAACCTCCACACTGTTTTCCAGAGGGGCTGTACCAGTTTACATTCCCACCAACAGTGTAGGAGGGTGCCCGTTTCTCCACATCCTCACCAGCATCTAGAGTTCTCTGATTTGCTCATTTTAGCCACTCTGACTGGCGTGAGGTGGTATCTCAGTGTGGTTTTGATTTGTATTTCCCTGATGAGGAGGGATGCTGAGCATCGTTTCATGGGTCCGTTGGCCATCTGGATGTCCTCTTTGGAGAAGTGTCTGTTCATGTCTTCTGCCCATTTCTTCACTGGGTTGTTTGTTTTTCTGGCGTGTAGTTTGGTGAGTTCCTTATAGATTCTGGATATTAACCCTTTATCTGATATGTCATTTGCAACTATCTTTTCCCATTCCGTTGGTTGCCTATTAATTTTCTGGGTTGTTTCCTTGGCTGTGCAGAAGCTCTTAATCTTGATGAGGTCACTGGCACCTTGATCTTAAACCGAAAGAAAACTGTTTTCCTCCAGAACTGTAAGAAAATAAATTTCTGGTATTCTGCTATTGCAGCTCAAGGAGTCTGAATACAACTACCAAGGAAATTCAATAGGAAAAGAATAATCTTTTCGACAAACAGTTCTTGGACAACTGGATATCCACATACAAAAATGAAGGGGGACCCTACCTCATGCCATATATAAAAGTTACATGAATCAGAGACTGAAATGTAATGCTCAAATTATAAAACTGTTAGAAGAAAACATAGTGGTAATTCTTTGTGCCTTTTAGTTGGGCAATGGTTTCTTAGATAGGACACCAAAAGCACAAGTGACAAAAGAAAAAAAAATAAGTTAGACTTCCTCAAAAACTTCTCTGCTTCAAAAAACACCATAAAGAAAGTAAGAAGACAAACCAAAGAATGGGACAAAATATTTGTAAATCACACATCTGATAAGGGACTTGCATCCAGACTTTATAAAGAATCATTACAATTAAACAATAAAAAGACCAATAATCCATTTTGAAAATGGGCAAAGGATATGAATAGACATTTCTCCAACAAAGACAAACAAATGGATGATAAGCACACAAAAAGATGCTTAACATCACTAGCAAGAAAATGCAAATGAAAACCATAATGAGAAAAACTAGAAGAACATAAATAGAAAAATTACTTCATATTTACTATAATTGCTAAAATCAAAGGACAGAGGGGTGCCTGGGTGGCTCAGTTGGTTAAGTGTCCGACTTGGGCTAAGGTCATGATCTCGCAGTTCATGAGTTCAACCCTGCATCGGGCTTTGTGCTGACAGTTCACAGCCTGGAGCCTGCTTCAGATTCTGTGTCTCTGTCTCTCTCTGCCCTCCCCCTCTGTCTCTCTCTCTCAAAAATAAATATTTAAAAATTTTTTTTTAAAGGATAGACAATAAGAAGCGTAAGCACGTGTAAGCAAGTAAAGGCAGTGTATGAGGGAGAAGTTGGAGCCTTCATACACTGATGATGGCAACAAGAAATGGTGTAGCCACTTTGGAAAACAGCCTGACAATACCTCAACAGTTAAACATGGAGTTAATATGACCCATATTCCAGTGGGTTTCCATTTCTCGGTATGTAAACCAAGAGAAATCTCCATAGAAAAATCTATACAGAAGGGGTACCTGGGTGGCTCAGTCGGTTAAGCAGCTGACTTCAGCTCAGGTCATGATCCCACAGTTCATGGGTTCGAGCCCCACGTAGGGCTCTGTGCTGACAGCTTGGAGCCTGGAGCTTGCTTCAGATTCTGTGTCTCCCTCTCTCTCTGACCCTCACCCAGTCACACTTTGTGTGTCTCTCTCAAAAATAAATAAACATTAAAAAAATTTGAAAAAAAAAGAAAAATCTGTACATGAATATTCATAGCATCATTATTCAATTAACCAAAAAGTGATAACCCAAATGCCTACCAACTAATGAATGGATAAATAAAATGTGGTATATCTACAAACTGAAATATTATTTGGCAATAAAAAGGAATGATATACTGATAAATGCTTTGGCATGGATGACCTTGAACACATTTTGCAAAGTGAGAAAAAAGTCAGTCACAAAAGACCACATATTATATGATTCCACTTATATGAAATGTCCAGTACAGGCAAATCCATAGAGACAAAAAGTAGGTTTGTGTTTTCAGTCAAGAAGAAAAACTAGTGCAAAGTTTCTAATGCTTCCGTCAAGACAGACTTAAGTTCATTTCTTGATAGTGGTCAACACAGCTGCTTTTGGATCTTCAAAATGCTTACAATTGAGAACCTATGGCACTGCAAAGGCTCTTCAAAAGGCAATTAAATATTTACTAAGTCAAGGATTTGAGGCTGGCTTTCTTTATTCAATCAAATCCTTACAATTTCCAGGGAAGAAGAATCCAGTCACTCATGGAAAATCATTCTAGTGTATAAAACTGTATTAATTTATCTTTCTGAATTTCAGACCCACATTTCCAACTATTTGCCATACATTTCTACTCCATGTCTTATGGATAATACACTCAACATGTATAGGTTCAGGTTTATTACATGCTGGGCAACTGATGAAATCCACATTCTTTTGGCAACAGCAACCTGATTCCTTTCTGTGGAATTACCTCTTTCCCACAGTTTGAAAAGCCCATTAATCAAGTGCCTATCTTCCCCTAACCAAGGGGGTGAGGATGTGAGAATGGAAGACCTAGTGCTTTCTTGCTAGACAGCAAATGGTGAGCAACAAAAAAAAGACTAAAGATAATTGGGATAATACTCATTCTAGTAGCAGTGCCCCAGCCAGCTGACTGGTCACTCTATTCTAAGCTCGGCTCTTTGGACCTGGGAGAACCCCCATATTTTAATAAATATTAAAATATTTATTAAACCCTTCTTGCTTAAATTAGCTTCAGTCTGTTTCCACTGCTTTGGAATCAGAGAACCCTAAGCTATACACATTATATTTCCAATTCTGCTGTCTTAGTTAATGTCATTATCAACCTCCTAGTAAGTCAGACTTGACTCCCAGGTCACCAAATCCTCCCTGACCTCTCATTCAATTAGTCATCAAGAGGTAAAGATTCTGCCTCTTCATGGCCTCTTTTAATCAGTCTTCACATTCCAACTGTCATCACCCTAAATCAGGAACTTATTATCTCTCACTTATTTATCTGTTCATCAAACAAAGTCAGCAGGGATGTTTCTCTGAAGCATAGAGCAGATTATTTCTCTTTCTACTGGAGCAACTTCTGTGGCTCCTCTTTAAGTCTGGCATTATAGGCCTTTCATAACCTATCTACCTTTCTTTCCAATTTTAACTTATTTGCAGCTCTTTCTCTAAAAGTGCAAGTTATTTCCACATAATCTTGAAGAGGGAGGTAAAAACATGCTAAAATTTCAATCTTATGTGATGTCTGAGATTTACTTTAAAATAACGTGAAAAGAGGGGTGACTGGGTGACTCAGTCGGTTAAGCATCCCACTTTGGCTCAGATCATGGTTTCATGGTCCATGGTTTGAGCCCCCTGTCAGGCTCTGTGCTGACAGCTCAGAGCCTGGAGCCTGCTTCAGATTCTGTGTCTCCCTCTCTGCCCCTCCCCTGGTTGTGTTCTGTCTCTCTCTCTCTCAAAAATAAATAAACACTGGGGCGCCTGGATGGCTCAGTCAGTTAAGCGCCTGACTTCGCTCAGGTCATGATCTCGTGGTTCGTGGGTTCGAGCCCCGTGTCAGGCTCTGTGCTGACAGCCAGCTCAGAGCCTGGAGCCTGTTTCAGATTCTGTGTCTCCCTCTCTCTCTCTGACCCTCCCCTGCTCACACGGTCTCTCTCTCTCTCAGAAATAAATAAAAAACATTAAAAATAAATAAATAAATAAACATAAAAAAATAATAATAATGTGAGAGGAAAAATATATGGGAAGGGCTGGTAGATGGGATGGAAGAGTACTAGCCATGGCTTAATGGTTATGGAGGCTATACTGTGGGATTCAACATGCTATTTTATCTACTACTGTGTATATTCAAAACCCTCTACAATCGAAAGTTTTAAAAGTCTTCACTTACTCAAGAAGGGAGTCCACTGATACTATTTTAGTCCTGAAGACAATAGAACAAAATTTATTTTTAATGTAAGAAAAAAAAAAACCCAGGAGTCCAAAAAGGGACAAATAAAACTGGATGGACATAAGAAAAAGTAGGAAGAAAACAACCAGAAAGCATAATAAAAGATGGCATGGAGAAAATCAGACCTAGAAGTACCGCGAAAAATGTCAATGGGTCAAACCTAGAAGTACCACGAAAAATGTCAATGGGTCCTCTTAAAGGTAAAAACTCTAGTGAAAAGACGAAAGCTAGGGCCCCTGGGTGGCCATGATCTCACGGTTTGTGAGTTCTAGCCCTGCATGGGGCTATTTGATATCAGCACAGAGCCCACTTTGGATCCTCTGTCCCCCTCTCTCTCTGCACTTCCCCTGCTTGTGTTCTCTTTCTCTCCTCAAAAATAAACATTAAAGAAAAGAAAGATGGCTCAGTTGGTTAAGCATCTGACTCTTGATTTCAGCTCAAGTCATGATATCATGGATCATGAGTTCAAGCCCCATATTGTACTCTGCGCTGACAATCTGCTTGGAATCCTCTGTCTCCACACCCCCTTGCCCCTCCCCCACTTGCTCTCTATCTCTCTCAAAAAAATAAACTTAAAAAAAACCCACATTCAACTGTTTAAAAAAAAAGACAAAAGCTATGTTGCATAATGTACTTTATAAGAGGAGTATAGTATACCAGACAAATCCAAATTATTTCCTTTGAGCAATGAAACCCCATCTTCAAAAACAGATATAGTCATACCTGAAATGATGCCCACTTAGAATCTCAAGACCTTCTGTTATGGCACAGTACAGGCTGGTCTGGGCTCCCTGTTCAGGGGTCTTGATGAAGAAGGAGAAAAGCCACCACATCCACTTTATGAAAGTTGAGTGCCGAACCAATTCAGAGTTGACTGTGCCAGGGTGTACAGAATACGTCGTAACGCCAGAACCTAATGGGGGGGTGCCATTTGGAGAGAGGAAGACAGAACTTGATATTGCCACATGGCTGAAGAGAGCAGAGGACGTGAATAAACATTTGACTCCATGAAGACTCCCTTCCCCCAATAGTATTACAAGCATTACTCACAGAAGTTTCTATCTCCCCATTTCACAGGCGAATATCAAAGAGGTTATTAACTGTTAGGAAACAGTAGAGCCAGGACTCAACCTCTTAGCAGCACTTCACACTACTGACTACTTCTTTCTCAAAGCTGCCTTTTTATTGGCTTCCATGACCCCACACTCCTGATTTTCCTATGCTTTCTAGTGGCTTCCTCTTAGCTTCCTGGACCAGTTCATCATCTTCTACTCAAACTTCAAATGTTGGAGTTCTCATGGCTTGCTAAAATCCCTGTCTATAACTTTATGGTATGCATATTTTTATGTACATTATACTCCTTTGAACTCTTAACTGACTATGAGAGGCAATGTAATGTAGTGGTTAGAGCACGAACTTTGTGGGCAGACTGCCCAGTTTCAAATCCTAGCTTTACCACTCATTAGCTGTGTGACCTTGAGGAAGCTCCCGATGCTGTGACTCAGTTTCCTCTTAAAATGGGGATTATCCTTATATCTGCACCTCACAAAGTTGTTCTGAGGATTAAATGGGCTCATATGTACAAGAGCCTAGAACAGTATCTGGTACATAGTAGATGCTAAATGACACTTGTGCATGTGCTATGTGAGATCCCCAGTTCTTCACTAGAACCTTGGGACCAAAGAGGTTTCCAAATTTTTATTGATTTCAGAAAGATAATATGACGTTGCCAAACGAACTTTGGTGTCAAGCTTCTGAAAAAACGGAATTTTCAGGTCTTTGTGGATTTCATAATTGCAGACAAAGGACTGTGGATATATATTATTTCCAACTTCACATCTACTCTACATAATCCATAGTAATGCAGACACATAGGTCCAAAACTAACTTCATACTTTTTAAAGCCAAACCTGGATCTTGCAGTATTCCCTAACTCCAGACCAGGCAGGCACACAGAGCAGTTCTTGATGATTCCCCACATTACCATACTCAACAAGCTTTAGAGTTTTCCCATCCTAAACATCTCTTAGGAGTGTCCACTACTCTCCATCTCTACCACTCTAGTCCAAGCTACTGTCATCAATCACCTAGACTACAGAAATCATTGCTGTACATAGCCCTGCTCCCATTTGAAAGGTTTTCCACTGCTCTTTCCACCAAAATCCTTACCATAGCCTCTAAGGATTCTGGCTCTATTGACTTCACCAGTCTCAGGTCAGATTTCTCTTCCTTTTGCTTTCTATACTTTAACCACAGCAGCCTCTCAATTTCTCAAACTGAGCCCAGACTTTTGTGCATTCCCTTCCTTCTGCCTGGAATGTTCCTCAATCTCCTCAGATGACTCATCCCACCCACTCTGTAACTCATTTAATTTCTAATCATCTTATATAAAGGCTTAGCTTGCAACTCATTTCTTTAGAGAAATCCCTGATCCCTCAGACTGAATAAGCACTCCCGCCAATCCGTTATAGATCCTTATACTTTCCCTTTTATAGTATTTACCACAATTATAATTAAACAACAACAGAAAGGAAACAATCCAGATGTTGTTAAGGAAATGAATAAATACACCGAGGCACATCTATACGGTAAAATATAACACAGCCAATAAAAGGAATGGGGTAAATCTGTATGCACAATGTGGAAAGATCTCCAAGATATTGTGTTGGATTTCAGTTCCTTATGTATGACGCATACTTATGTAAATGCATAAAAAATGATTTGACAGGTACACATGAAGTTGTTCACAGTGGTTCTTCAAGGGGAGAAAGAAGAATGGGGGAAGGGGATTAAGTAAAGCTTTTTTTTTTCACTTTTAACTCTGTATTATTTGAACTTATTACAAAGAGAATTATTCATGTATCCTTAGACTAATTTTCCATGTGATAGCTGTGTAAATACTTGTTAATTATCTCCCTCCCCCAGTGGATATAATCCAAATCAAGGAAGGTACTGTACCTGTTTTGGGCACCACTCCATCCCCAAGCCCCAAATCAGTGCCATTGAAAAGCATGGACACTGAATACCTGACTGCTGAATGGTCGAATGAATGACTCCTCTGTTATGCCCAGGTCTCCTTCACTGTACCACAGCTGTCTCCCACCTAATCCTCACATCTCTCAGGCTTCCTCACTTGTGTATCTGGATCCTCATGGCTGGGCCCATCACTCCACATCCAGGGCACCCTAGCTCCCTGACCAACCCTTTGGATAGTGTTCACCATCCAGTTACTCTGATCCATCCTGAGCTGATAAAGGATGTCATGCCCTGGCATAGACTGGGCATATGAAGTGAGCTGACCACAGCTTCCTCTCTCCCCATCTCATAGCTATTCACATAGTTTGATGATCCTATTCCAACAATGGGACTCCTGTGTCTGATTCCCTGAGCCAAAATTCTGCCTGCCTCAACTCTTAAGCAACCCCAGCTGTCCACCCTGGATTACCTTTCTTTTTATTGAAAATTCAGAGTAGACAGTGCTAAGGACCTCTGTGTATTTGTGATTGGAGAATCCCGTCTTCAAGCATGCATTTCTCTTACTTAACCTTTTGTTGTTAAAGAGCAACATCCTTCCCCCCTCCCCCCTCCCCCGCCCACCATAGTCCTAGCACCTGTTTTATCCTAATGGTTGTATCTAGTGCCAGTTCAGGTCCCTCCCTTCTATCTAGTCTCACTATGAGTAAAAAATCTTGCTTGCTCTTGAGGCCTGACTTAATGAGGACAATAACCTATAAAGTAATCCCATTTTACTTATGAGGAAATAAGTCTTGAAAAGTTAAGTAGCTTGCTACAAGTCACATGGCTAGTAAGTACTAAAGCTAAGCCTTACAACTCAAAGTCAGAATTTCCCCATCTCCTGCCAGCCACCTCCAATATTCAGTTGTGGGCTACTTACTAAAATAATACCCAGTTAGAGTCATGGAAACAGATTTTATCCAGGGGATGGGCTCCAGAAAACAATGTATTCCCTTGGCTTTTTGCTACTTCCCATTGCCTTATATCTCTATATTCATTTCTTCTAAGCCTACCTTTAAGTCTCCGGGCCAGTTCCTGGGTGAAGAGAATGTTGGCTAACTTGCTGTGACAGTAGGCCAGACCTGCATTGTAGAACTTCTCACCCTGCAGGTTATGGAAGTGGATCCTCCCCAGGTGATGCGCTAGGGAAGACACATTCACTATCCTTGATGGGGCTGACTCCTTCAGCTTCTCTAGCAGCAGATGGGTCAGCAGGAAGTGACCTACAAGAAAAACTAGAATTAACACAGTTCAAGGCCAATGTCAGGGGAAAGGGAGTAGTGGTGGGCCCTGCAGAGAATTCAGGAATAAAGCTTTTTGCCTCATTAATTCATTATCACCTACAGAACAAGCTCAGTGAGAGATTAGGAAAATAAGGCAGCCATCCTTCCATGAAAGGGATCTGGAACATGTGAATATGAAGTCCTGTCTTCTTCCAACTTTGATTAATATCACTCTTTAAGAGCAGGCGGCCTCTACCTAATGCTGGCCGTGAGGATCACTACAAAGAAAGCAACACAGTCCCCAGTTCAATTAGGCTGTTCAAAAATACCCCAAAGTGAATTTAATCTGAATCACAGATTAAAAAGTAGGTGGAGCCTCGAGTGGGCCTCAATTTTATCCCTGGGCTTTCAGCCAGGACCATAGTATTCACTATTCACTTATGGTCTTTTAGGGCCCCGTGTCCAATCACACCACAAGGACAGCTCAGTCTGACCCCTAAGTTTTCCAAGGAGCACTTTAGGTTTCCTCCAGCTTTGTGATGAGACCAGATTTCTTACCCAAGTGATTGACTCCCATGTGCATCTCAAAGCCGTCTGCTGTCTTAGAGTAGGGACACAGCATCACTCCTGCATTGTTGATCAAAATGTGAAGATGCTTTTCCTCTGTAGGAAAGAGGAGATGTAGTGTGGACGCAGCCAGCCACGGCAGTTACACCTAAGAAATCTGCCTTACACACCCAGGCCTTGAAAATGGGGGTCCATGGCTTCAATTTTTCCTCCATTTCCCCTTCATATGTATTTTGTATTGTTTTTCATTGTTTAAGACTTTAGTTGAATCCTACATCCTTTTACCACAGAGCAAAATTCCATCTCATAAAACCAAGTGGCTTTATGATCTTTCCAGTTAAGGAGGGTGTTCTGCCCACCTCTCCTAATAGAAAGACTTCCCAAGAAGATCTTAGGAAGATTTTAGGCAAGAGAAAAAATGATGTTTTGTATGCACCCCTGCTACTGGAGAACTCCAAAAGGCACCAAAAGAAATACTCGTTTCACCTCTTTGTTACATATGATAACTCTTTCTCATGGTTTGTTTTCTCATGTGGTTTTTAATTTCTAACTATAAGCTCATATCAGCAGAAGTTGTTTACCTAGAGGTGTCAAGGTCCCTGTGTTATGAGGGGATAGGTCTACAGAGAACTCTTGGATTTGATTTTGATGTGATTCTACAGGGTTTTATGTTAATTCCTCAGCTCCAGATTCTTACACCATTTGGTGATGTAATAAATTCTCCCCCATAAGGGAGAGATGCAAACCATGAGAGACTCTTGAGTGCTGAGAACAAACTGAGGACTGATGGGTGTGTGTGGGAGGGGGGATGATGGGCATGGAGGAGGGTACTTGTGAGGATGAGCACTGAGTATTATATGGAAACCAACTTGACAATAAACTATTTGTAAAAAAAAAAAAAAAAAAATTCTCCCCATAGATGATGCCAACTTGAGGTTCTAATATCTTGCAGATGACTCTCTAACCATCTATGTCCTGAAGAGAAGATGAGCTTTTTTGTCACGTCTTAGAGCTGGTTGCCTAGGGTATTTTTATACCTCTTTATCATGGACAAGATGTCTTTTCATGAATCCCAAACTTATGTGGAATCTGAGATATAGCTCCTCAGCTCTCAGGGCCTAAGTAAGGCCTTATCTCCTGTCCCTGTATGAGTGCTTAGACTCCAGATCCTAAAGCTCATATTGAGTTCAGATACTCCCGTGAGATTTTTGGCTTTAGTTCTTATGCACTACTAGGACTTTTTTTTTTTTTTTAATGTTTACCTATTTATTTTAAAAGAGAAAAACAGAGAATGGGGAGGAGCAGAGAGAGAGAGGGAGAGAGAATCCCAAGCAGGCTCCATGCTGTCAGCGCAGAGCCTAATGTCAGACTCGATCCCATGAACTATAAGATCATGACCAGGCCTGAAATCCAGTCAGATGCTTAACCGACTGAGCCACCCAGGTGCCACGCATTGCTATGACTTTTTAAATTTATTTTTTTTGTTTCTGCCTCTTGAGGATTCCCCTTTGTTACTAAGGAGTCAGCTACAAATGAAAGTTTTTGATTATAAATGATCTAGTATTTCTACATATTAAAGAGGGTGAAGGACCTTTTCCTTTAGCTAAGTCTGCCATGTTGATTGCAAGACCAAAAACATAATCTCCAGCTCAACACTTACCTGCTAAGAAATCTTTAGCAAAGCCTCGAATAGATTTAGTATCAGCTAAGTCCAGTTGCCGAACCAACACCTCTTGGTTCCCTGTCAAGGTCTGGATCTCTCTGGCCACCGATTTCCCCTTTTGGATATCCCGGCAAGCTAAATACACGCGGGCTCCTGTCAATCAACATATAAAAGAAACAAATTGTCAGCTCTGCTTTGGAGTGGACATTACAGACCTATAGACTTATGAATGTTATTTTCCTACTGTTTTTTTTTTTTTTAATGGGAATTTTACCTCTACTTCATGACAGAGGTATCTGGTGAGCAAATCAAAAAGGAAAAATAAATAATATTCACTAAGTGTCCATTATATGTAGAACATTATACTAAGTTGAGACCAGTGAATCTGTGAGACACTTGGAAAGTTCTTGAATGCCAAGATTAGGAGGAAATAATGAGCATGGTCATCCTTGTGAGGGATAAAATGGCAGTAGCAGGAGGGAATTAGAAGCAGATGAGCTTGCCTCTTTGAGCCAGGTCTTTGGCTGTCTCCTTTCCAATGCCTGTGTTGGCTCCAGTGACCATAGCCACCTTCCCAGAAAGCTGGACAGTTGATGTACACACCCCGCTAGACAGCATTTTTCTGTAGAGAGGGAAGGAGAGCTCATCAGTTCTTCATTTTCCTTGACCTGGCCAGAGGTTCCTGCAACCCCCATGTCTTCCAACCCCAAAGCTAAGGTTTGTTTTGGTTCTTTCTAGTGCTGTCCCTTCATAGATTTAAGGAAGTTTGAAGAAAAGTTTTCTGCTCTTGCTCAGGAACAAAAGTGCTTTTATTGTAATGGCAAGCCTTAGAGCTGCCCCCTGCAGTATAACAACTAGATAAATATTTGATTATCGAGGTACCTGGCTTCAGTTTTAGCTCTTTGACAGACTTAGGGAATCACAAGACTCAGCCTACAAGAAGCAAGAACTGGTCCACTTATGTCAATCTGTCCACAACTGTCACTTTATGGCCTTGATATACAGCTAACCCAACAAAAAAGCTAAAATTATGAAAGCTTGTCAACCTGGGGCGAAACACAGAAACAGAAACATGCGCACTCGCACAATTAAAAATAAGACAGAGGGGCGCCTCGGTGGCTCAGTCGGTTAAGCGTCTGACTTCGGCTCAGGTCATGATCTCGCGGTTCGTGGGTTCGGGCCCCGCATCGGGCTCTGTGCTGACAGCTCAGAGCTTCGGAATCGGTGTCTCCCTCTCTCCCTGACCCTCCCCACTTCAAGCTCTGTCTCTCTCTGTCTCAAAAATAAATCAACATAAAAAAAATAATAAGACAAAGAAAAGACATAAATTAGGGGAGCTTGGGTGGCTCAGTCTGTTAAACTTCTGACTTCTGCTCAGGTCATCATCTTAGTTTGTGAGTTCCAGCCCCATGTCCGGCTCTGTGCTGACAGGTTGGAGTGTGGAACCTGCTTCAAATTCTGTGTCTCCCCCTCTCTCTGTCCGTCCCCCACTCGCACTCTGTCTCTCTCAAAAATAAACATTAAACGTTTTTTAAATTATTCAGTAAGAGACATAAATCAGTGCAAAGAGGAGCTAGTTGAGTGTCCTTGTTCCTAAGCACTATACTATCCTTCTTTTCCAAAGAAATGAACGCACAAACAGGGATTAACAGGTCTCAGATTGTTCTTTTTCTTCTCTGCAAATCTCAAGACTCAAGTAAAAAGAATCTCTTGACCAGGAGATACAATTTTAAAGAAATTTGAACGTGGGAGTTGCAAGGCACACACTCCTAGCCACTAACACTACCTGCTTAGTGTACACAGGCCGATAGGAAGTAAACTAACTCATGGTGCTCACCGAAGTTTATCTTCCTTCTCAGAGAAATGCCTCCTTGCTCAGTTTCTCACATCCTTTCGGTTTTAGCTCCAGGAGCAACAACGTATCAGGACCTCCACTGGGCTCTTTCTTCTCCTTACCAACAGGAATGAAAGAGACAATCAACTATGAAAAGTCTAGCTCTGGGCTAGCTCCCATGACCTAGCCAGGTGTTTGCGGAAATGACCCTTGCAGTATAATCTTCCTCAGAAATCTCACAGAGATGTAAGCAGTATTTTCAGTTCAAGGTCAACTTTTCATTGAGACTCTATCTGGGTAAGAGAATCTTGTGGTGGAAAGAGATAAAAGGCGTTTTCATCCGAGTGGGGGCACCAGGTGTTCGGAAGGCAGGTAAACTAGAAGAGCAGGTCGGTGGACGGTGACCACGCCCCTCCTCCGCCACACGACCTTCATCCCCGGGAAAGGGTTGTGTCTCATCAGTCACTGGTCCGCCGTCACTACTGGTGATTTACTCAGGACCAATCAGCAGGCGCCTGTGGTGCAACTCTCTGACGATTTTCTGCAGCACTCGGCCAGCCATTGGCTACTGTATCACCAGGTCAAGAGAGTACTACCCCTCAAGCTCTCTGTCTCACCCACAAACCCCAGGTTATGATTCAGACCCCCAGATAGTCGTGCTCTGAAGGCAGGATACCCCTCATGACGAAACCCTTTTTTCTTTCCTTTACAAAACAAACAAACAAACAAAAAAAAAAAAACGAAACTAACAGCAACAAGAGAGCAAGCAATGGGTTTTGCGAGTACCACGATTCCCATCGAGGGCCAGTTTCAGAAAGCGAAAAGTTGAATCACTCCATTGTACTTCAAAGGTTGGAAGCAAGAAGCCAGATAGGACTGGTTCAAGCCGTGGGAGCTATGGGGAAAACGGTGTTGAGGTCCACACTCCATTTTAGGGTCTAAACCCCCCCAATACTGGAAACTTAAGGGTTGGAGGTAGCCTTACACTCAGGATTCTCTGGAGCAGAAAGCAAGGGCTGCGGAGACGAAAAATGGGACGGGGAGAAACAAAGTGGGGTGCTCCGGATTGCAGCCCCCTCCCACCGCCTGAAGTCTCCTGTTCTTGTCCCCCCGCATCCAGGACAGCTGGACTCTCCTCCGACCAACTGAACTCCGGGCCTCGTCCTACTTGGAGCCCCCCAGGGAGTTTTCCTTTTCTTTCTTTTGGAGAACAGAGGTTCGGTCAGGATTAACGTCTCCCTGAATTCTTCTCAAGAGAAGGCAATACATTTGCACAGACCTGATTTGGGGTGCAGCGATGTACAGGAAAAAGGGGAGGAAGAGGAGCAGGAGCAGGGCCCCGATCATCTTGCTGGATGGCTGCTGCGGTTGCACAAGCGGAGCGAAATGCCCCAGCAAGGTTTGCGGGACTGTGGCTGCTCCTCCCAGACACGCCTTGACTCAGTACGACAGCCCGGGGAGCAAAGCCTTCTGGGAAATGTAGTCCACAGCTTGGCCCTGAGCGTACCGCTCCCAGTTGCCCAGAGAAGCTGACCTTTGCTCTAACACGCAAAAAGTTCTCAACCATCTAGCCTCTAGGATCTCTAGGATCGTCCAGCTCTCCCACAGCCCTCTGGCCACCAGGGTTCCCGTGAAATCTCCCCAGTCCTCTATCTTCCGGTTCCCAGGTCCAGACCCTGGTTCAGTTTTCCCCATAGTGAGGCAGTTACTGCATTTTCTCCTGGAGATCAGATTGGCCTCTGGGAAGTGTTCTATGGCCATTTAGACAGCAGAGGTTCAGTTGGAGTCTGACAGTTGGTAGGGAAAGGGGGAGGTCGGAATCCTTCCTCCTTAGGGATTCCTTGCCCCAGTGGAATGTAAGCAACCTGTCCCTGAAGACATTCCCAAAAGAGAATCACTTTATTGTGTCTATTTTGAATTAAAGTGCTATCATTATTTTCCTCCGTTTTGAATGTGAATTGATAATAGAACATAGTTTTCCTGGTGACTTGGCTTAGATATATTAACTCCCAGGGTAGCAATGGATTTCTCAGATTAGCACAGTTGGTTTTGCTTACTCATGAAAATATGTAATCCTTTTTTTGAATTAAGGCCATGAAAATTCTCTGAGAATAAGCAGGTTCCCTGTTCAATAATTCCTTTAAGCTTTGGCATCTGAGGCCTTTATCTGGTTTCCAGGAGGTAGAGGCAGAGGATGTTTTAACAAGTCAATAATTGGATAATTCATTTCCATTTGACTGAAAGACATGTTCCAAGCTCAATTTTAATGAATATGTTTTTATAGAACCTGAAGAGGACATTTCCTTCACACTATACAAATTTTTACTGATTTAATATTAGATTATTTAATAATCATCAGATTTTGTCATATGCTCATTATTTCAGTAGCTAATATGTGTACAGGTTTTTATACCTTTATTAAAAGACTTTCGTGTATTTTGTTCCTTATTCATTCATTCATTCATTTGACGAATGTTTATGGTATTCCTACAGTGTACTAGGCATTGTGCTGAGGTACAGCAGGATGACCTCCGCCCTCTCAGAGCTTATGGCCTAACAGGGACGAACTTCCTGATTCAGGATCACCCTGAATAAGTTATGATGAGGATTATGAGGGAAAATAAGGAAAGGCTTGGGAGGTCATAGCATGAAGCCTCTCCTAATCTGGAGATGAGGAAAAGCTTCTTTGAGGAAATAACATTTGAGCTGAGGCCTAAAGGAAGGTCAGGAGTTAGCAGGCAAACAATGTACAGGCAAAAGTGCTCTGGGCAGAGGGAAGAGCCCACCAGAGAGCTCAGAGTCTGAGAAAGCAGGGGCACTAGAACAATGGAAAGCATTTGTCTAGCTGGAGCACAGGGGCAAGAGGGAGTGCTAGAAATAGTAATAATAGCCAATGCTTCAATAGTGTTTATTATGTGCCAGGCCCTATCCAAGTGCTTTCTATAAATTAACTGCCTCAATTCCCATAATAACTCTATGAGATAGGACTACAATTTTTCTATTTGACAGACCAGGATATTGAGGCAACAGCAAGGTTAAATAAATTATCCCAGGCCACAGTGGCAGAGCTGGGATTCAGACTTAAGAAAAGTGTATCCAGGGTTTGTGCCCTTAACTACTAAGTCATGTTGCCCAAATATGAGGCTGGAGATCTCCTCCCCATATATATGTGCATTTGCACATCCATGCAAAATTTACATGAAATTTCATTCACAGAACCCAGATTAAAAGCCATTGGTTAAACCCAATAATGGAAGATGGGTAAGCAAATGAGCGGCTTAGAGAAGCTATGATAGAAAGTAGAGAGGAGTGTCTTGGGCAGCACTAACATTATGGAATAAGTAGAGGAAGGTGACCCTGAGTATGGATTGGTGAAAAGGGGCAGAGAGGTTGATGAGGTATTAGACTGAGTTCAATGAAATTAGAGACACCACACAGTAGTTTGAACAGGGATATTTTAATATAAAGAATTATAAACCATATCAGGAGATCGGCGTACTGAGGAACTGGCAAATATAGGGGTTATTAAACTTTTTCTGTAAAGAAAAATAATTATTTTAGGCTTTGGGAGCCTATGGTCTCTGTCACAGCTACTCAATTCTGCTGCTGCAGTGTAAAAGCAGCCGTAAATGATATGTAGATGAGTGAGCATGTTCCAAGAGAACTTATTTACAAAAACAGGCAGTGGGTTTTTAGTCTGTGGTTTGCCAACCTGTGGGCTAGGAAGAAGTGAAGAGAACTCTAAAGAAGATTAAAAGAGCAATAAAAATACTGCTTCAGATTCTGTGTCTCCCTCTCTGTCCCTCCCCTGCTCATGCTCTGTTTCTTGTCTCTGTCTCAAAAGTAAATAAACATTTAAAAAAGAGCAATAAAAATATAATAATTTAAAATTTTAATAACAGATGTAATAGAAATAATATAGTACAATATCATATAAAATAGCCACTACTTGGAGCTGAGACAGCGCCCCAAGGAAGAGACACCTTCACTCCCAGACCTTGCTGGAGAAGGACAGGCACAGTGCACTGAATGGAAGAGAAGTTGCTGTGGTGCCACACTTGTGGAATTTGCTGGAAATCCACTGTGTAGAGTGCCAGGGAAAGCTGTCTACAGGGAGGCATCTCACTGAAGGAGCTCTGTTACAAAACACTGAAAAGGAAGCTGCTGGCCACTGAGTGCTGATAGAGAAGCTGTGTGCACTGCAGGAGCAGTGTTGCAGGAGCCTGGCTTGCTGCGGAAGCCTGTGGCGCTAGCACAGCTGAAGGAAGAAGCAAACCCCTGGCCTCCTGCGGTGTCTCACCAGTGTCATCTATTGACAAAGTTTAACATCATGCCAGATAACAAAGAAAAACCAATTTTGAGGGTCTATTTCCACTTTCACAGAGCAGGCAATCAGGAAGAATTGGAGTTGAGAGGAAGTAAATGGGTAACTAGCATGGGAAGGAACCTGGGAGATGTGGTGTACTGGAATGCATTAAACGATTATTTCAAGAAGTAGCACAGCACCAAAATCATGATCCAATGAACAAACTGATAAGTTGGACTTCATCAAAATGAAGAACTTCTGCTCTTCAGAAGATAATGAAAAGAAACCAAATATGGGGAGAAAATATTTGCAAGTCACATATCTGAAAAAGTATTTGTAGTCAGAATGCTTTTTTTAGTCTCCAAACTCAGGATTAAGAAAATAACTTAATTTTTAAAGTTGTCAAGTGATTTGAACACATACATCACCAAAGAAGAGATGCAGATGGAAAATGAGCACACACACAAATACTCAATATCATTAGTCATTAGGGATAAGCTGAGGGAAACCATACTAGAATACCACCATGCGTCTACTATAATGGCTAAAATAAAAAAGTCTGACCAGACCAGTTATTGATGAGAATGTGAAGCAACGGGGACTTTTGCACACTACTTTTTAGAATGTAAAATGGCACAACCATTTTGGAAAATAGCTTGTTAATTTTTTAAAAAGTTAAATATAATTTTTAAAGTGTATTTTGAGAGAGACAGAGAGAGTTCGTGGAGGAGGCACGGGGAGAGAGAGAGAGAGAGAGAGAGAGAGAGAGAGAGAATCTCAAGCAGGCTTTGTATTGCCAGAGCTTGACACAGAGCTCAAACTCACAAACTGTGAGATCATGACCTGAATTGAAATCAAGAGTCAGATGCTCAACCAACTGAGCCACACAGGCACCCCCCAAAATTAAATATAATTTAAACATACACCTATCATATGACTCCTCAGTAATTTCCAAGAGAAATGAAAGCTTATTCATACAAAGACTTGTGTGTGAATGATCATAAAAGCTTTATTTGTAACAACCAAAACCAAGAAACAACCCAAATGTCCCATCAACAGGTTGAATGGATAAACAAACGGTGCTACACTCACATAATGAAATAGGTATTGTTCAGATATAAGCAGGAATAGCCTTCCAACACACAACAGCATGATGAATCTCCAAATAATTATGTTGAATGAGAGAAGCCAGACAACAAAGAGTGAATATTGTATGATTCCATTTATATAAAATTCTAGAAAAGTGCAAAACGTGGATTATAGATTGTGGTGATAGGAAACAGATCTGTGGCTTCCTGGAGCTGGGGGGAAGTGGGGAGGGGTGGGAAGGTTATATTAAGGAAAATGAGGAAGCTTTTGGGGGTGATGGACATATTAATTGTTTTGACTGTGGTGATAGTTTTATGAGTGTACACAAATGTCAAAACTCATTGAAGTGTATACATTAAACATGTGCAGATTACTGCACATCAATCACACCTCAATAGAGCTGTTAAAAATAGAAGGTATTCAAGTGTGCCATCCTACTGAAAAGTTAAGCAAGATAAGAACTGAAATGTGTCCACTAGATGTAGCATCATAGTCATCATTGGTGACATTGTAGAGAACAGTTTCAGAGAAGTGGTTGTTGGGACCCTGATTGGAGTAGACTGAAGGCTGAGTAGAAAGTAAGAAAGTATACAGAACTCTTTCAAGCTGGCAAGAAGAGAAGAGGTTCCTATCAGAAGGGGAAGGTGGAATGGAAGGAGCATTTTTAAAGAACACAGAGGAAAAAGTTGAATGGGGAGATAGCAGATAAATGACAGAATAGGGTCCCCAAGAAAGCAGAAGAGGCTGAGATGGAGAGAAATTCATCTTAGGAGGAGAGAAATATATGATGAGCATAAATTCAAATAGATTTATGAGCTTGGCAGCAGAATATAAAAGAATTTTCTTTCTGATGGCCCTAACTGTATAGATGTGTGTGTGTGCATGCGTGAAGAGGCCAGGACACATGCTGAAATTGAGGGGGGTAGGCAAGAAGTTTAAAAAGAGTAGTGCACATGTGAAACAATCACTGTAGATATAGGTTAGTGGGGTTTAGGGAAATGAAAAA